TGAATCCTCACCCGTGATTCCTTGAGTAATTGTCTTAGTTTTATTTACCCTTTGAGATTTTATTTGAAGCTACAAAATTCAACGTAACATCGTTCAGCTAAAAACAAGTAGACAAATATATTGGCCTAAGCCTTTAAAAATAAATTTTTTACAAATAAAAGATGCTGATGATATTGCGATCATCTCCTGTAAAGTGGGAAGCATAACTATACCCTATGCAATGATTGATAGTGGATCAGACTCCTCAATTATTTTAGAAAATATTGTAAAACATTTGGGTCTAAAAATAGATAAGAAAAAGATTCACAGACTTAATGGGACTGCAAGTAAGTCCCATTTCTTTGTTATAGTTGATAGTATTCCTGTAACTATTGAGGATGGGAAAAATAGAGACACTATTTCAGATAAATTCTCTGTCGTTTCTACAGAATATGATGATAGTGAAAAAGAATTATCACTATTTATTCTTGGGACTCAATAGCAATATCATGCAGGATGGAAACCTTTAGTGAAGGGGGAATTTAAGGCAAGCTGAAATGAAAAGACTATCATCATCCCCTATCAGTTCACAAATCCCAGTGCAATGTCTTCACTATAGAAAAGGAGCCAGAAGAATGATTTCATATAGAACCAAAAAAAAACTAGTTGACCATACATGCCAGTACTATAGAAAGGAATTCAGATATTTCTCTATTCTTAAAAGGCACTTAGAGTTAAAAAATATGTATAGTGAACGGTCTAGTTAGGTTAATGATTGAGTTAGTCTAGTAAGTGATTAGTTAGTCTAATAAGTGATCAGGTTAGTTCGATAAATGATCAGATTAGTCTAACAAGTAATCAGGTTAGCTTAATAACTGATCAGATTAGTAAAAAAAATATAGTGCCTATTTGATATACATTGGTTTAGACTATTTTTTTTGTATAACTACCCTTCATTTTTTGATAATATTTAAGCAAATAAGATATTTAAAGTTACGTTTGCAAATTTTATAATAACGGTTAAATAAATAATCTGGTCCTTTATCTGCTGTATAGTATTCTTCATCAGAACTTGATTCATTATCTTGATCATTATTCTCAGTCTTATTTTTACTAGATTTAGATACAAGATTACTAAGCCTTATATTTTTATTCTTAAGATCAATAATTTGCTGTTTTAGTGAGATTATTATATCTTACATTTCTGAAATCTTTCTTATATATGTATTCTCACAATGTAAATCTACAACTTGATGTTGTAATCTATGATTTTCTGATTTTATATTAGAAATAGTTTTATATATTATAGTAATAGTTTTAATATTTTTTTGAATATAAAAAAAAAGGATTGATCTAAAATTGGTCTATAATAATTTAAGACGATGTTAACTTTACTCTTTTCGTCGAATAAGTTAACTATAATTTGAAGTCAGGAAGGCAATAGCTATGACTTAAATTCAATCAACTTGATACGCTGTTTATTAGAGAGTTTATTTAGTTAACAAGAAATAAATTATAAGTTTTATGTTTATAAAATGTTAAATGTGTTTATTATTGTTATTAAATGTATATTGAATACAATGTTAAGAACTTATTAAAATCTCGTTGAATCTGTTTAGAATCTGTCCTTTTTCCAAGACATTTTCATACTTTTTATATAAGAAAATTACAATTAAAAAAATCTATAGTTAATATGATACTACTGATAATAATAACAGAGCTAACAGATATGCTAATTATATTAAATATGTTATAAATGATAATAAGGATATAAATAATAGAAATATAATAAATAGGATGTGTATCCTATTTGGCAGATATGGCAGATTTAGCAGATTTGGCATATATGTCATATTTGACAGGTTCATCAATTTTTGCCAGTTTTAACGATTAAGTCTTACCTAGACACATATCTGAAAAGTATATTTTTTTCAGATATTTATATTATTCTTTGCTTTTTTCCACTTTCCAGTTCATAATTTAGTATCATGATGGAAAAAATATGAACTTAGTTCTATTGTCGCATCTCTTCCAACATGAGGGTTATAAGAAATAATCTTATCATTGAAAGTAATAATCTTTAAGTCTTTAGCAAAGATAACATCCTTCAAATCTTTAGACTTGCGTTCAACTGACTATTTATATCTTTCTTATCATTTTTAAGTTAGGAGATAGTAGCAGACAACTTGTCAATCTCTCTATCTTTCATAATTATAGATTTGTCTAAAACAGAGATACGAGATTTATATTGCTTCTCTAGCTCAGCTGAACGTGAATTATGCTAAGATTCCAATTGATGTTTAAATGAATATGTCTTTTGTTTCATATTTACCATACAATTATTATATTCACTCTCTTTGCAAGTTATAAGAGCATCATATTCATCTTTTAAACATTTGCGTTTCTCAGCAACTTGAACTTTAATAGTTTTCTTAATATTATTCTTCTATTGCTATACACAAAGCTCACGTTCTTCTAACTGTTTTTTAAATTCATCTAATCAGAATAATGTACTGAACCATCAGAAGTGGTATTAGCTTCAATCTTAATCTTCTATCAATTTTTTTTATTATGATATCTATTAACCTTCCTAGTAAGCAATTTCTCAATATTTAGATGGATACCCCTAAACTGCTCCTCAGATAAAAGTTTATTTTTGTGATTTATAAGGCATAACTATATATTTTTTTCATGGATAAGGGTAATTGATCAAGCAAATTCTTATAGCATTCGTTAAAATTTGGTTGGCTAGACATATGTTCGATTAGAGGTAAATGATATAGTCTTGAAAAATTCCTAGAAAAAATATTCCAGGAAGTCCAAAAATACTATATTTTCCTAGAAGTTTAGGTATTTTATATATTTCTGATAAAATTTCTATCTAAAATTGGCTAAAAAAATTGCTAAGACCTAGATTCTGGGAAAAAATATTAAGAAAATGCTAATTTTATTCCGATATTTTCATAATAGCAAGGATTTTTTCTACCCCTGCATAATTTTTTGATTCAGTATAGCAGGATTACTTAATACTGAGCCTTGAGGGAGTGGTATCATGTAACACATATAACAGTATATGCATAGAAAATCACATAACACTAAGCCCAGAAGGAGTGATATCATATAATATTCAAAACAGTATGATTACTGCAGAGAAGTGTAGTAATAATATATTATTACGTATTACACATGACATATAGCCTCCTTTGAAGCTATTATTGAGAAAGTCTAGCTTCTTTTTTTGAATCTAATGAGAAAAAAGGGGAGATTGCTTGGTATTTTTTTTAGTTTATAGCATTTGACTTTTATTCCTTTGAATGAACTGCACTTAGATGCAACTATCTTCTCCACTTCAGACTCAGATGAACTAGACTCAAAGAAATCAGTTAGTTCTTTACTGTGACCAGTTCTTTCTTCTATACAGTTAACAGATCTTTTAAACTTTTTGAGTTGAAAATGATAGTCACTTAATTTTTTCTCTAATGCTTTGATTTCTCCAATAAGTGTGCTGAATACTATAGAATTTTGATGAATGAATCCTGCCAACTTTGATAGTTTTTCCATATTTTTTACATACTCGCTAGGATGATTAGAAGACTGCTTTTGCATAATTTTTATTTTAGAGGTATTATTTAATATACCGGGGGGAGGGGGGGAGGGGACAAAAATATTGCACAGCTTAAAAATAAAAATTTAAATAAATTTTTTATAAGTTATTAGCCATGTGATTTTTA